CGTTCACCTTCAGGTGACTTTGCTTTCGGGTTCCGCAAGATCCAACCAAACGATGGTTTCACTCTCTCCATTTGGTTTGACAAGATTTCTGACAAGACCATCGTGTGGCACGCACAAGCCGTCAACACAACCACCGGTCTTGTCCCTGATGGTTCGAAGGTTATATTAACCGCAGATGGCGGTCTGGTTATCACTGACCCTCGAGGTCAAGAGCTGTGGAGATCGTTGAGTGGTGGCTCTGTTTCTCGAGGGCGCATAACTGACGAGGGAAACTTCGTTCTGTTCAGGGATGGGTCAGAAGATTCTGACGTGGTTTTGTGGTCGACGTTTGAAAATCCCACCGACACTTTGTTACCTAATCAGGTAATTAATTAGGTCTTTATTATGAGATCATAGATATTAACTTGAGCTGAATAACAATTTATGTTCTCTGCTTTTGAATTTAAAAACTACTACATGATCATATACGGGATTGATTTTATATTATAAATTATATATTTTTAAATTTGTGTTATGTGATTTTGTGGACGAATATGAAAACAAAAATATATAAGTGACATGTAATAAAATATATCACCTATGTAATTGTTGGAGGTTTCATATACCATTTTGTGAGAATTTAATTGATAAAACTTATTACATAATTTAAATACAAAACAAAATTTATCAAAATAAAAATATAATCAATTAAAAAAAATTATAATAAAATTTATGAATTAAATGATTAAAAAATCTTTGGGAGATCTATTCCAAAAATATAGGAAATAAAAAATAAAAAGGAAAACCCTCAGTTATGATTGTTTGTTTGTTTGTCAAAAATAAAAAAGGAAAATCCTAATGTAAGAAAATACTCTTTACTTGATTTTTTTTATGTTAGATTTTAATTGATTTGCTCTCGTAAGTTATGTTACGGATGTTATTGATATTGATGCAGAATATAGAAGTTGGAAGTAATCTGTCATCTCGTAGGACAGAGACAAGCTTCAAGAAAGGAAGATTCAGCTTACGTTTAGGTGATGATGGTAATCTTCAGCTTCTCACTCTCAACGCCGAGACTGTCTCAGAATCAGACATATACTCTCGTTACTACGAAAGTAACACGAACGATCCAAACAACCCCGGGATTCGATTAATTTTTAATCAGTCAGGGTACATGTATGTTCTTCAAAGGAACAATTCAACATTCGTTGTCAAAGAGAGAGATCCGGAGTTTTCTAGCGACTTCTATCGCCGTGCCGTGCTACATTTCGATGGTGTTTTCGCTGAGTACTATCATCCCAAAGGGGTGGAGGAGAATAGTGGGTGGGTATTTGCTTGGGCTGTGCCGGATAATATATGTGGGCCCGATGATGCACTTGGGAATACGGCGTGTGGGTATAATAATATATGTAGTTTAGGAAACAACCAGAGGCCAAAATGTGAATGTCCTGAGAGGTTTGTGTTGAAGGATCCGAGCAATGAGTATGGTGATTGCTTGCCAGATTTTGAGATGCAGACTTGTAGACCAGAGAATAACCAAACCGCAAACTCAGATATGAATCTTTATGAGTTCATTACTTTAGAGAAGACGAATTGGCCGTTTGGGGATTATGAGAGTTACGCCAACTATGATGAAGAAAGATGTAAAGCTGTTTGTCTTAACGACTGTTTATGTGCTGCGGTTGTTTTTGGAACAAATCGTGATCTAAAATGTTGGAAGAAGAAGTTTCCGTTGTCTCACGGTGAAAGAGCTCCGCGTGGTGATAGCGATACATTCATTAAGGTTCGAAACCGCGCCATCGCGGATGGTCCAATTAACGGAAAGAGAGCGAAAAAACTTGACTGGTTAATCATTACTTGTTCGGTTCTACTTGGAACTTCAGCTTTTGCGATTTTCATACTTCTTGCTCTGTACAGAAAGAATAAAGCGAGTAAGGAGATGAAGAAGAATCAAGCGAGAGATATCGGTGCGGCTACTGCAAATGAGTTGAATATGAGAGTCTTTACATATGGAGAGCTTGCGGCGGCTACAGGAGATTTCACGGAAGAGCTTGGAAGAGGAGCCTTTGGTATAGTTTACAAAGGATTTTTAAAAGTGTCCGGTGATTCTGAAATAACTGTGGCTGTGAAAAAACTAGATCGTCTTGATCAAGATAACGAAAAAGAGTTCAAGAATGAGGTTAAAGTGATAGGTCGGATTCACCACAAGAACCTAGTGAGGCTCATTGGCTTCTGCAACGAAGGACAGAGCCAGATGATCGTCTACGAGTTTTTACCACAAGGGACGCTAGCCAATTTTCTCTTCAGGCGCCCGAGACCGAGCTGGGAAGATAGAAGGAATATTGCGATGGGCATTGCTCGTGGAATCTTGTATCTACACGAAGAGTGCAGCGAGCAGATTATACACTGCGACTTAAAACCGCAGAACATACTTTTAGATGAGTATTACAGTCCTCGGATCTCGGATTTTGGTCTAGCTAAGCTTTTGATGATGAACCAAACGTATACGCTCACGAACATCCGTGGAACAAAAGGGTATGTGGCACCGGAATGGTTCAGGAACAGTCCCATTACATCCAAAGTAGATGTTTATAGCTATGGAGTAATGCTTTTAGAAATCTTGTGCTGCAAGAAAGCCGTCGATCTTGTGGATAACGTGATTCTCATCGATTGGGCTTACGATTGCTTTCGACATGGAAGGCTGGAAGATCTGACCGAGGATGATTCAGAGGCAATGGATGACATGGAGACGGTGGAGAGATATGTGAAAATAGCGATATGGTGTATACAAGGAGAGCTTAGGATGAGACCTAACATGAGAAATGTTACACAGATGCTTGAAGGTGTGACTCAAGTTCATGATCCTCCAAATCCGTCTCCTTATATCACTTTCACTTGTACTGATGATTCTATGTCTAGTGGTTCAGTGTCACTTGTTTGATAAGTTAATAGTTTTTTATGGAATAAATTTCAACAAGTTGATATTACGGAACATTTTTTATGGAACATTTTTTTTTATGGAATAAATTAATAGTTTTTTATGGAACATTTTTTTCTTGGTGAGTTCAATCAACATTTTGTTATTATGTTCATACATACTCAGCAGCAAGACATGAAACTAATTGCTGCTGATCAAAAAACTTTAATCCATAGGCATAAAGAAACTGTAATCTGGACCAAAAAACATGTCAATAGTCAAAATTGTCCTTGAACCATTCAAAACCGAAACGCAAGGAAGAGAAATCTTTTACGTATACTATTCAAGAATGTCTAAATCACAGTAAACACAACCACAATGTACTCTATTTGTTCCTACTCTTAAAAAGACTGTTGACTTTTCAAAGTCTGGTCCATTGATCCCCTGACTCAGAGACAACTAAAAGTAAGAAGTTTTAAATTTTCTTAAACTTTCTTCGACGTTCTATAATAACAAACAAATATATCTAATAAAAATGTTTAATTTTACTATGTAAACTCAATCGTAATCTCAGAATTTTGTCTAATAGTCTTACCTACAAAAGCTCTTTTATTTTGTTGTTTTTTTTATCGCAAGTATAGACGTGTTGATGATGATGATGATGATGATGTTGCAGAGTATTGAAGTTAGAGGGAGTCTCTCATCTCGCAGAACAGAGAAAAGCTTCAAAAAAGGAAGATTCATGCTACGTTTAGGTGATGACTGAGATCTGCAGCTGCTTACCCTCAACAGTCGCAGAAACAGATGTATACTTTTTGTGTTATTCAAGTAATACTAAAGATCCTCTGAATCGCGGGTATCGATTAGTTTTCAACGAGTCAGGCTACATGTATGTAATATTCAAGATATTCGATTATGCTCATCTCTATTTCTAAGGTTTTGAAGTTATATGCTTTTCTCCGGTTACAACCGTGATTACTACATATTAAACTTTAGGGCATCATCAATGGGGGAGCATGTGAGGGTGTTCTTATAGAGAATATAATGTTAAAATAATGTAAGATCATGTGTTTAGATCTTTTGTTTAGAAGTTGATTAGTGGGAGAACATGTGTAAGATCTTAAGACTTAATAATATAATAATCTAAATTAAATTAAGATTTTACAATTATTAAAACATTTAAAAATAACATATAAATTGCAAATGCCAAATTTATGAAAAACTGAAAATAAAAGTGAAAATACAATACTAAATATTTATGAAAAAAACATTAAAAATATAAATAACAATAAACAAACAAACATATTACTTAATAAAAGCACAAAAACATTTTATCTAATTAATACATAGTTTATTATCCAAATTTATTCCAAATATGTTGAATATTCCAACCAATGCCCAAATGCCACGTCACCCCGCAACACCCACAAGAACAGATCCAGGTCAAGAGCCCAGTTCCTGATCTTAAGCCCATTAACCCATTTTTTTGGATTTAAATAATGCTTAGATCAGGGGGGGTGATCCCCCAATGCAGATGGTCTTAGACTCTAGAGTTGCACTATCAAAATCAGAATTTCACATGAACTTAACAGTAATAAACACACAACTTATTTTAATTCCTAGTTATACTTTAAAAATTTCCTTGTAAAAGAATGATTATAGAGTTAAAATCCTAATTTCTTTTAAGAATATCCACACTTCACCGATTAGGCTTCTTGATTTTTTATATTCGGTCCGGACTATAATAACTATTTGCTGAGGCCTATAGTGAGAGCTTTTTGTTTTCTTAGAAAAAAGTTTCAGATTTATTTTCTTGGAAGTTCGTTAAAGTTCTCCAAAATTCATACATTCTTTTTCCAGAAAATCAATAAATACAGTATTTTTAAGCAAATAAACAATGCTCATTGTAAAGCTGGTTACTTTAAGGCTATAAAGTGGATGTTTTAAGATAGTATATATTTTGTCTACAATTATTTCATTTCACACGGTAGACAACTTGTACCAGCACGTTCTTAATAAGTCATATACACTTTTGCCAGTTTCTATTGGTTTAACAATTAACCAATTTCATTGAAGAACATATATTTTTTTTTTTTTTTTTTTAGGGATGCAACACGAAGATTTCCCGGGAGGTCACCCATCCTAGTACTACTCTCGCCCAAGCACGAAGAACATATATTTAATCATATTAGTTTCACTTTAACAAAAGAAGAAAAAAAATCATATTAGTTTCAGCACTCGTGGGTATTTTTTTTTTTTTTTTGATAACTAGCACTCGTGGGGTATTGCTATTTGTTAATATGCAAAATCCATCAAGTTCAACGTTAGTCAATGTTCAGAAGGCAATAATTTATAGATTGTAGTTTCAATATCGAACACGTTGAATTCATGAGTTATCAATATTAAATCTAACAATGAATAAAAATGAGTAATTTTGTTTGCGCGTACCTTCTTATGGAGGGAGTGTGGGAGCAGAAAAGTAGCCATCCATCGTTGACCTCTAACTCACATTATTTGAGATATTTTTTTTTTTTTTTTGACAAGATTTCATGTTTTTATCATGATTTATTGAAAGTCATATCATTTTTATATTAATAATAACGAGAGTCGAAGATTATAACATAATTAATTTTATCATGATTTATTAAAAGTCATATCATTTTGGGTACTAAGTTACTTACGTTGTTTGCAAAAAAGTTAATTTTATTTCATGGATGAAGATTGTTTTTTATATTAAAAGGAATAATTCCGTTTCAAATAAACTTAGTAATATTAGTTTTATTGGGGCGAAGGTTTACATATCAAAATTATTATTACTCTAATTACATAAAATATTAATTAATTCTATTTTAAATAAAGAAATCAAGTTGGATAGTGGCTGCAAAATAATTGATTAGGTAAACTTCAATGAATACACATAATTGAATATTAATAATTACTCCTTCTGTTTCACAAAGAGTGTCATTCTAGAGTTTGATTTTTGTTTCACAAAGAGTGTCATTCTACATTTTCAATGTGACTTTTACACAAAATTTCCTAATTTACCCTTAACTTAAAGCTACTTCTACTTGAATTTAAATCATTAATCACTTATTAAATAGGGGCATATATGTATAATTCAATGTTTTTTAAATTTGTGTGAAATGTGTCAAAATGACACTCTTTTTGAAACGGAAAGAGTATATATAAAAACTACGCATTAAATAGCTTATATTAGAATCGAAACTAATCGTTTACAAAAAAAAAAAAAAAAAATCGAAACTAATCAAATAGTGTTGCTGCTGACAACTCTTGAATGGTGTGATGCATATACTAGTATGAGTGAAAGTTAGTGCCGTAGTCAAATATATGTGAAAATTTTATAAAGATTACGTATTCACGTGAATCCACCAGAATCTGAAAATAATCGTAGAAGGACTATTATTATAATATGGAATGGGAGTTTCACTTTTTAGGGAATATTGCAGTCTAGCAGACGAATATACTTTGTTTTTTCAACACTTTAATTATTGATCTAAATTTTTTTTTTAATAACTCAGGGTAAATTTGTAGACGTATGGAGGGACTCAAGACTAATCTCTCGGGAGAGGATGTTATTGATCTAAATTTGACATAACACTTTTTAAAGTAAATTTGCATTTTGAATTTATATATAGTACCAATGATTTTAAAAGTTAACAATCAAAGAGTGCCTAAGTTACGGATATCTCAATTTGGAGATTATGTACGTAGGTCAACAAGTGTTGTTAGGTTGGTCGTAAATTACTAGTTTATCTCAATTCGAATCTGTTTTGCAGATCAAAATTGCTATGTTCGAAATTGCATGGTTGAAATTTTCAAGTGGTACCAAAAGATTTGCACCAACAAAAAAAAAAAAAAAAAAAAAAGTGGTACCAAAAGTAGTACCATTTATATATCACTTATTTCCAATATATCACCAATAAAATTCGCAAAACATTATTAGTTTTAAATGGTAAAAGTCCGTCCAAATAACAAGATGAAATAGTTTAATTTTGTGCATCGAACAAAATTCGATTTTCTTTTTCTGTTAACCGCTTTTCTGCATACACAATTTTGTTAATGGAAAATAAATTTTGATCACGAGCGGATTAATCTGCATCATCCGCTATCAGATATAATTAAATGTGTCAGATAAATTATAAAATTTTCATTTATGACTCTTTATATATATAGTTTATGACTTATAATGACAGGCTTATCAATTCCATTAGTAGCATGTATAATTAAAAATATTACAGATATTTTCGTAAGATTTTTTCATGTTTTTTTTTCGGATTTGTAAACAAAATCCGTGTAATTATGCAAAATATTTATTTATTATTAATTTATTACAACAGCACATTATTTCGACGACGTGATGATACACCAATCTATCACAGGTTATTAAAGGAAAAACCAACGTAAGATTGGTTTTAGTCTGACTCGTCAGACAAAGACTCCAACCATTTTGTCATCTTCGTTCCAAGAATCAATGAACTCCATTGCATCAGCTACATTGACCTCTGGCGAATCTTCAATACCTCCGGCGCCGGCACCGCCGTAGCTTAAAATACCCTTTAACTCTTCCATAATCCCAAAATTATCGACTGTCGTATACATATCGGAGATCTCTTCATTGCTAAAGAATTCGTTGAAACCATCGGTGAAAGAACAGTTGTCGGAGAAGCCGGAAAATGGTGACGTAGTGTTGATCAAAACTGATGTTGCAGCCATTTTGTTGAGCAATGTGGAGGTCGGAGAATCAACGTCGCCGGAGTTTTGTGAATCTTCCGCGACGGTGGAGTTTCCGCTAATGATACCGGTTAGTAGATCCCGGTTTAATTCCACGGCGTATTTGCTTGCAACGCGGTTAAGAAGCCTCGCGGAACCGGATGAATATACCGGTTTATTGGTTTTTGGTACGAGACCGGTTTTACCGGTTGAATTGATCGGTTTATGAGTAATTGGATCGAGGCCTTTTTGTTTTAGACGCTTCTTGAGATTTGTGTTCCAATAGTTTTTTATTTCGTTATCAGTTCGTCCCGCCAAACTAGTGGCGATCGCGGCCCACCTTCAATAATCAAACGCAACCATACACAATTAAATAAGAAAATTATAGTATATTCTATGTTTGGGATTTTGAGATGAAAAGTAAAGTTTTTTCATGCAACATTACACATAGTAATGATTATCTAATCTAAAATTGAATTAAGGATACAAAAAAGAAGAGAGATGCTTACTTGTTACCCTTAAGAGCATGAAGCTTGATGATAGTGTCATCTTCTTCAGGACTAAACTCTCCTCTCTTAATGTCGGGTCTTAAGTAATTAGCCCATCTCAATCTGCAACTCTTTCCACATCTCTTTAATCCTATATACATTTACACACATTATAATATATTAATAAGAGAGAATATATATATATATAACTTTCTTTTTAAAAGTAGCTAATAATTAGACAATACGATAAAATAAATATACCAGCTTTTTCAGGGAGAGTACGCCATCCACCTTCACCATGTAGTTGAAGATAAGCAATAAGCTTTTGATCTTCCTCAGGAGTCCAAGCTCCTTTCTTTATACCTTCTTCTTTGCAACATGGTGTCCTCACCATCTCTCTATGCTCTTCTTCTTGATTTTGTTTTAGTTTAAATACCTAAATAGTACGTAAAATCCTAGCTAGAGCTAACAAAGGATCATTAAGACTCCATGTTTCCAAAAGAAAGACTCTTTAATCCTTTGTTTTGATATAAAACTAACAAGAAAAAAAAACTATGCCTTAAGAGAATTGAATAGAGCGTCTGATCAAAACCAGAAGACACTTGAAGACTGTACTCACTGAGACACTCTTTTGACGATGAACACGTGAACGTGTTATCATTATATATCGAGTTTAGAAACGAAAACTATCGATGCTTTTTTTTAGTTCTGTCTCACACAGATTACAGATGTGCTCTTATATAGCAAAATTACGAGAAAGGGATAGAGAGGGAGGGAGAGAGAAAGAGACAGAAGTACAGAAAATGATTAATAATTATTTGCAGTCAAAAGAAATGATCTTTGATGGAGGAATGGTTGAGATTACACGTTCTTTAAATCTTTTATACACACTTACACAGGCCACTAAGTCACTGTAGTGCAATGCTACGTGTAATGTTATCATTGGACCAGTTGAGCATCTGTCAGAATTCGCGGTCACACGGAAATGCTTACTGATGAGTGATGACACTGTTCTGATGCTCTTGTCCGTTTTAGTTTGTTTCTTGTGAGATCAAGGAACATTGTGATTTTGGGTAAGAGTTTGTATTGATTCTAGGAGATATGGTCGTCAAGAAAAGAGATCAGCTACAATAATAATTGATTCATTCAAGGGTCCCTTCATTCAATCAATAATTAAGGCTAATATCATTAAATTATTGCTATTTTATTCTTTCAAAATGTATTGGTTTTAATACTAGTGATTAGTGAAGGTTGAACTATGAGTCTATGACTATGACATTATATGTTAAAATTTATCAGATATTTTATAGCATATGTGTGTGGAGGATTTGATTTTAAAACACAACCTTTTTCATCTTTAGTGTTTAAACCGCAGCTTGTATAATCATTGATAGACTACTTAACAAAAAAAAAAACTATTAAACAAGGAAGAAAAACAAAATGAGATGCGATTTAATATTGATTCTTGATTTAATATGATATAGAACAAACAAGACGCGGCCTAATGACATTTATAAGTCTACCAAAAACCTGTATTACTTCTTTCGGGATCGAGTCTCTTCTACTATGATGAAATTACTTGTACTGCCACTAATGGACCGGTCCGTTGTGTCCTAGACGAGAAAAAAAAAATTTGATATTGTACGATCCAAATGCTTGTCCTATTTTTTTTTTTTTGGAATAAGAACGAAATATATAAAGAAACATGACATACAAAGATACACACACTCATTAAAATAACATGAAAATATTTTATTTGTATTTAAATATTCTTTTCAATTCTAAATTTCACTAGTAAAAAGACAAGATTTGTATCACAAATAATTACATAATTATATCATGATACAAAAATCTATTCTTTTGTTAAAAAAAATTAGCTATTTTTGTGATACAAAAATCTTGTAGGGATGTTAATTTTATATGGGATGAGATTTTGAAACTAAAAACAGGACGATATGAAACATAAGTTTTTGCTCACCTTTAGTTATATAAGTTTACATCCTTTTTTCGGTCAACAAAAGTA